TCTCTTAAATTAGTTATATTAATTTAATTATAAAAATCAATACTGAGATACAACTTAATGGCCATACACCATGCTATATCCGTTAATTGCGATTATTTATGATTCCTGATTTATTGTAGCAGCCAGGGGAGCGTCGCCGTCAGGTAAAGAATAACACTGCATACAAACGATCGCATTTAAACGAAGCTTCTTTTTTTTTCTGTTTTTTTCAACTTTTTTTTTATTTTTTTTTTTTTTTTTTTTTTTTTTTTTTTTTTTTTTTTTTTTTTTTTTTTTTTTATTTAGCATGGAGATGCCATCAAGGATACATCTGCAATCATATTTCGTTCATCGTTCGACGCTGTGTCCACATACTAAATTCTATTTCATTCATGATATTTTTCTTAAGGAATAATTTTATATTAAATTTACATTGTTACTTATAGGTCTTCAAGTTTGTCATCCAGGACCAAATTTACAAAAACGAAAGGGACCTGATTTAAAACCTTTTGCTGAACCATGCGGAACAGAATGTTATATGCACTTGGTAAAAACAAAAATATTAATAACAATGTTCCAAAAAATACATAAATAAAAATGCAAATAAATCTTTTTGAATAGGAAGGAATGAAAGAAAAACTTGCCGCTCAAGCGGCTGATATAAAGGACGAAGAAAGCGATGAAAAACGTGGAGGACCTAGAAAAGTGCGAAAACAAGCAAGTGTAGATTCTGGAAATGAAGCAAGTAGCGAAGATAGCAATGATAGCAATAAATATAGTCAAGGAGGCGGTTGTCAAGGTAATACAGAATATTTAATTTTCTCCGGATTAGCTATTTCGCACTTATCAATCGAAATTCTGATAGAGTATATTATCACATTAGATTTTAAACAAAATGTCAACAAAGAAACAAAATCCGAAGAATCTATGGAAGATCAAGCACAACCAGAAAATCAAGCGCCGTTTACGCTTTTGGGTCTCGATAAACGAATAAAGACAGAAAGCGAACCATCATGGACAGGTTCGGAACAAAGTCTATTTCGAGCTCTTCATAAGGCTTTTCCTGGTAATCCATGTGCATTAGCACAGATTATGTTGACTAAAACATGTCAGGAAGTATATCAATTTGCACAAAAAGAAGCATCAGATATTCCAGCAGTAGAAAATTTGAAGGACTTTACACCACCACGAAAGAAAAAAAAGAAACATCGTCTTTGGTCAATGCATTGTAGAAAAATACAGCTGAAAAAAGATTCTGGTGAATATTTTAAAATAAATAATATTAATTTATTTTTTTATTCATAATTTACATTATTTTTTTATTATTTTCTTTGCTTTTAAGGCGCCAATCATGTCCATAATTTTGCACCATGCGATCATCCGGGAAGACAATGCGATAATTCATGCCCATGTATACAAGCTCAAAACTTCTGTGAGAAGTTTTGCCAGTGTAGTAGCGAATGTCAAAATCGTTTTCCAGGGTGTAGGTGCAAAGCCCAATGTAATACGAAACAATGTCCTTGTTACCTAGCTGTAAGAGAATGCGATCCAGATTTATGTCAGACATGTGGTGCAGATCAGTTTCAAATTACCAAAATATCTTGCAAAAACGTTAGCGTTCAACGAGGTCTTCGTAAGTATTTTTTTAAGTTTTTTTTAAGCAATAATCTTTTAAATTGCAACATTCTAATCGCAATTTTAACCATGTGATTGTTTATAATTATAATTATAATTTCAGATAAACATCTTTTAATGGCACCATCCGACGTAGCTGGTTGGGGAATATTTCTTAAAGAATCTGCAGCAAAAAATGAATTTATATCAGAATATTGTGGTGAAATTATAAGTCAAGATGAAGCTGACAGACGAGGAAAAGTATATGATAAATATATGTGTAGTTTTCTCTTTAATCTTAATAATGGTAAGAAGTACTATAGTTTTCTTAATAATGTTTGGAAAATCAAATTTTTAATTATTTTTCCATTTTTAGATTTTGTCGTGGATGCTACTCGAAAAGGAAATAAAATAAGATTTGCCAATCATTCAATAAATCCTAATTGTTATGCGAAAGTAATGATGGTAAATGGTGATCATAGAATAGGTATTTTTGCAAAAAGAGCTATTCAACCTGGCGAGGAATTATTTTTTGATTATAGGTAAAATTATAGTAAAATTATTAATATTACTACTATATTATGATTTCCATATGTGTTATATTTATATATCTCTTTTCTTCTTGTAGATACGGACCAACAGAACAATTAAAATTTGTGGGTATTGAACGTGAAATGGAATTTTTATAATATGAATATGAAAGGAATCATACATAATAATGAATAAATGAGTAAAGCGAAAAAAATAGATAAATAACAGAAAAAGAAATATAAAAAAATACAAATGAAATATTTCCCATATTGGGTACCTGATATGAATTCATTGAACCAATGTTAAAAAAAAAAAAAAGAAAGAAAAAATGAAATTAATAATATTCTATCATATTTTTTATTTCTTAATAATAAATAACATAAAGTCAATCAATAAATTATATATTTTAAAAGATTTAACATTTATGATGTTGTTCGCGTAATCGATCCTTTTCATTTAATTTAATTGTATCCAAAAATTAAAAATGATTTAAGTACATATATAATATTACAGTAGATATTTTTATTTAGTTTTACAATAAAAATTTCAATTTTACATTAATTAATTAAAAAAAAATATTTTAGCAAAATATAATATATCTGTGTTTTAATTAAAAATATATGCTAAGTCGAATTAGTACAGAAAAATTTTAAGATAAACTTATAATTAGTTTATAATTGAATCACTAGTAGTAATCTTCGCATTTAAAAGATAATATGCAATAAATAATTGTGTGCATATCTTTAAAATATCATTGTGATCATGCATCTTACTTACAAGTAATAATAAAATATTTCACATTCCAGAACGAATTAATAAATAAATTTTATTATAAATATAAATAAACATGATAGTAATAAAATATCAATTGAACTTAATTTACCTGTCTTTCTCTTTTTCTGTTCCTATTTCTCTTCTTCCTTTTCTCCCCACTATAATGATCAAGAATCCAAAAGAGTAAAATCTCTATAAAGCAAAATTTAGAACTTCGAACATATTGTGTATGTATTTTTGTGATGTGTTTTATGATTGTTCAATTAATCGAATCAACGCTGAAAAGCAAAATCAAGTTGTGCGCAATTGATCGATTAAAGATCGAAAAACAAACGGAATATCGAATAATCAATTACAAGATATCGATTAGTCGAAACGATTAAAACAGAAAAGAAGAGTGGAATATTTTGCCAGTATTATGACAGAAAAAGGTAATAATAAGAATTTATGTGATATTATATTCTTAAAAAATAGATACATATAAATAATATAAATTATTTTTTAATAAAATAAGGATAAAAAGTTAATAAGAAGTATATTATATCATAACATTAACCAAATTTATTTTATTACTTTATCTTTATATTTTCTCAAAATAATAAAAAAAAGAAATCGAATCTATTAATATATCATAAAACGATAGAATTTTGAATTGATTGAAATTCATCAAAATTAGTATTATAATTTATAACAAATAATATTAAGCATATATATATGTATATATAAATTTTTTTATGCAAATCTACATGATATTACTGATTAATATAAATATAATCTATCTATTTTCGATTATGATATTTTGATTATCGTGCTCAGAAAATAATAAAATAATAAAATTATTTAAATAAAATTTGAATTTTACTCTAAAAAAGATCTCTTCTACGTTGAAATTACGCATAGTTGAAGAAAGTCAAATAAATTTCTGACGAGTTAGATCAAAAATAACTCGTACTGGTAATCAGCCAACTCCTCAAGCTAATAAGTATAAAGAATTATAAACTTGTTGATATAATTTACAAACAAATCTATGATTTTAGTTAGCTTTATAATTAAATTATGATAAAAAAGTTTTTAGAAACTTAAGCAATTCTTTTTATTTTAATGGCAGATGCAATTAAGAATTATGGAACATGCAATAAGTGCATGCATCGGTCAAATAATATATTTTATTAAATCTTATTATAACATAATTATATAATAAATATCATAAATTTTAATATTATTCTTATGTTATTATAATTTTGTTAACAAATCTTTATTATTTATTATTATACATATATATATGTATATTTATATACGATACGTTATATACATGATATTATTTTCGATGTATACAATTATATTTTCTCATCAATAAAAATTAAAAAAATTAATCGATGACGATATTAAATTATATTATTTTTTTTTTATTATCTTTTTATTTAATCATCTTATCTTATAATCAATATATATAATATATGCACATGTTTTAGAAAATTTACAGAAACATGATACCAGAGAAATCGGCGTTGAAGAATTTAATCAACTGCGAAGCAAATATGAAGGAAAATTGACAGCTTCCCTCTATACCGGTATCCTATTTGTCACTGTCATTGCATTGATTTTTGTTGTAGGAATTCTTTATATTAATAATTATCAGGTAAATTTAGTGTAGTTATATATAAATAAAGTGATTTTCAGTTTAATTTTTTATGTTAACAACTATCAGATAAATTTAATACATTCTAATCAAATTGTTTACAAATTAATAATTTATTATAACTTTTATTATATGATCGTTCATTTAAAAATAAATATTATATTATATGAAAAATACAATTTCATTTCAAATGGAAATAATCAATATAATAATTAGTATAATTATAATATTAATTTAATAATTAAATTAATGTAATATTAATTTCAAAATATCAATATTTTTACAGGATTTATCTCAAATTATTGTTCCTGTGACAACTTTAATGATATTATTACTCATATCATTGAGTTTATTATTAATAACGCAACTACCATCGACTTTAACGTCCGCTAAAGCTAGACTTTTTATAGGTTTTGTTGCATCAGGTATTTTAGGTATTGGAACTTTAATCATTCGTGCTTCAGTACCTTTGTTTATCACAATTCACGCGATGATCGCTGTATTACCAAGAGATACACGACAGACACCAACAATTCTTGCAATTACATTAATTATTATTCATTTAAGTATACGATTTATTTTTCTCGATCATTCAAGCTATTATCAAATAGTTCAGGTAAATATATATATATGTATTTTATTTCGGTAAATTTATTTGTCTTCACTATTTATTCGATCTTTTTCCTTCTCGTTAATTTAGACATGTAGCGAGATTATCTTTTTGTTCACTGCAATTTTATCCGGTTCATATTATAGTATATTAACTGCAAAAGCACATAATAGAACCTTTTCTAGAACAAAAACGGTCATTGAATCCAGAATAAAATTAGAATGTGAAAGAGAACAACAAGAACAATTATTATTAAGTGTTATTCCGGCTTACATCGCAGCTGAGGTAAGATTTGCATTTTCTTCCGGTAATGATTATAATTGATTAATCAAATCATTCAAATATTATTATGCCATACTATTAAATAAAATTGAGACAGGTGAAAAGAGGTATTATGTTGAAAATGGCAAATGCATGTCAAGAAGTTAGTAATCATAAGCAAACTAGATTCTATGAAATGTATGTGCAACGGCATAATAATGTTAGGTAAGCTAAAAAATAAAACAAACTATTATTAATAAATGAAAATATAGACAAAAACAATAATGATATTCCTTTCAGTATTCTTTATGCAGATATTGTGAATTTTACACCGCTTTCAGAACAATTATCAGCCTCAAGTCTAGTAAAAATATTAAATGAATTATTCGGAAGATTCGATCAAATTGCTCAGGTAAAATTTTTCATATAGAATATTAGTTTATGTTTTCTACAAAATATGCTAATTCTATAATTTAATATTTTTTAAGTTGTGTATAAATATATAAAAATTTAAATATGGATTTTTAGGATAATCAATGCATGAGAATTAAAATTTTGGGTGATTGTTACTATTGTGTTTCGGGATTACCCATTTCTCGACCAAATCATGCGTATAATTGTGTGACTATGGGATTACAAATGATAGACGCTATTAAGTAAGGGGAAAAAAAAGCTAATTTTTTTTTTTTTTTTTTTGAATTGTTGAAATGAATAAATACGGTTGTTTTTAGATTTGTTCGCGAAGCAACAGGATTTAATGTGGACATGCGAATAGGAATACACACTGGAAACGTACTATGTGGTGTACTTGGTTTACGAAAATGGCAATTCGATGTTTGGAGCGATGATGTTACATTAGCAAATCATATGGAAAGTGGTGGTTTACCAGGGTAATTTATTACATAATATGCTATCACAGTGATTATATTATATTAATTGTTAGAATAGCCAATGCTCTGTTTCGAATAGATTTTTTTTTCTTCAAGGAGAGTACATATAACTAAAGCTACTTTACTTCAACTTGGAAATCGTTTCGAAGTCGAACCTGGTAATGGAGGATCTCGAGAAGTCTATCTTGCTCAACATAATATTGAAACTTTCCTGATAGTACCACCAGAGGTGAGATTAAATCCTTTTCTCTTATTGATATATATGTATTAAAAGTAAAAACATTTACATTAAATAGACATTAAATAGACAATTATTCGATTAATATATAATTATAATTTGATTGTATGAATTAATTTTATTTTAATAAAATTAGTTTTAATAATTTTTCTGTTATTATATTACCAATCAAGAAAACCAATCAAGAAAATCGTATGAACGATAATGGTGAACATATTCGAACTGTCTCCATACCATCAAGGTGAACATGGCTCATCGTTCAATTTCGATATTTCCGCTCTATTAACGTATCCAAACTGCCTACAATATCATCTCTTCGCGTTTAATTTTCGCTTTAAATGTAATTATTACTTTTTAACCCTTTTGCTTATATAAACATATCATAATAGAATCAACTTTTAAAATTATTAGCATGTCCTATCTTCTTCATTATTTTTACTTTAATTAAATTAATTTTAAAAACAATTTTCTCATATTTTTTCTTTTGCTATTTCTTTAATTATAATATGAATAAAAAGAAAATAAAAAAATAAAGCAAAAAAGAAAACATTAACAGCGTGTTTAAAATAATTTATAACTTTGTTTTTTAACAGATCAAGACCAAGTAGTAAAATGACGAAATATTTTGAAAGTTGGGGTGCAGATAAACCTTTCGCTAATATTGCAGAGGCTACACTTGCTAAAAATATTGGACTAACGGTAAATCAATTAAATATTTAATTATCATTCAATTTATTGTCTTTATTAATTGATAAAAAAAATATTATTTCTTAATGATATAAATGAGAAATATTATTAAAACAAAAATTTAAAAATAAAAATAAATAACAAATAGCAATAATTCGGTGTTTATATTTTCTACATATTTTTTTTGATTTCAGAGTATTGCCATGATTGAATCAAATCTTTTAATAAACAGTAATTCTAATTGTTTCATCAATATGAAGTGAGTTATCTTTTTTCTTTTTTTTATAAATTTTTTTCTCAGTTTTTAGAAATTTCATATACAATACACATATATACATATATATCCTATACATATATAATGCTCCGAAAATGTGAGAACATCGATTAACTGAAAATTCATAATCTCAAACAAATATAATTTTTTTTTAATAAAAAAATATTATTTTATTTTATAGTATCAATAGATTTTTTCTATACATTGCTTATTGTTTTTGATGTTTTTGATTAGTGGCATATATACCAGAATTGGCCGTTGAAACAATAACTAGTTAAAAATCGAATAAGTAATTATTCATTAAAATGCTTATTATAATATTAGAATAATATTTATATTATAGCTATTACAATTAATCCTTCGTATAATTCTTCGTATAACTTCGATTATTTGACACTAAAGTTATTTGCATTTTATTCGATGATTTGAATATTAAATTATTAAAGTAACTTATTTTTCAACTTCAACTATTAAATTTTGTTCATTTATGTATACAACACTACCATCGAAATTTGATTAATTTAACACACTGATTGGCTACTATTTTTTGTTAATAATTCGTTAACAAAACTGTAAAGTTTTTGCAAAGAAAAATATTGTTTGAAAGAATATTCAGTTAAATAGTATTTCCATTTTTTTGAGACATTCTATATTAACATATGATTATTCGAATGTAACAGACAACGATATCAAGGCAATGAAGGAATGTCATCCGTTACTTATCGATTTAATGATCAAGATCAAGAATTTCAATATCGTCAACAGATTGATGAACAATATCCATGGTATCTTCTCGCTTCAACTACCATATATATTATGATTTTTGGCATTCAAATTATGTATTTACCAAGGCAAGCATGCATTAATCAGCTAATTTATCATATAATTTTAGTTCGATTACTAAAAAAATTTAATATCTAATAATCTAAAATCTAAAATGAGTTACATATATTATATTATACTATAACATATATTATATTATAACATTTTTTACAGGAGTATCATAGTTTACAGTTGCTTTTTTCCTGTTTTATCATTTTTGTTTATCTTTTCCGTATTATCTTGGTTTAACATTAAGATCAAAAATAACAATATCTGGAATTGGTTATCTTTGAACAGAGAAATCAGGATAATAGTATATTTAATAACGGTGTTTTTAACGATTACATCATCTATTCTTAGTTTATTATTGAATGATATTGTACAAATAAACAAATACGATATTATCGTATCAGTACGTATTAACATCTATTAAATACATATGAATATTATATAATACAAAAATGTATAATTTTATACAAAGGAATAATATAAAGGAATAATATTTTTTTAGTTATACGTATATACTGCGGTAATGTCTCTGGTTATAGGTTGGACGCATTTACGCATTGATTTTCTAATAAAATTCTGTATAATGTTTATCTCAATAGCAATAATCGTGGTTGCATTTTCACAAGCACCAATCGCTCAATTATACCATATGATTGATGTCATCGAGTAAGTAAAAATCAACAAATAAATAATAAGATAATTTTATTGTTTATATGTTTATTGTTTATACTTTTATCTATATAATTATAAATTCATGTTTTATAATCGATTCCATATTTATTTTTATTTAATTTTTATCTTGTCTACTTATTTCTAAAAAATCTTCTTTAAAATATTTGTCTTAAAGAATAATTTTCTTTAAGCATTTATTTTTTTTAGAAATATATTTTTAAATAATATTGAATTTTTTAAATTATTTCTTATTAAATATTATTTCACAGATATTATCGCATTCATTATTTATTTCAAATTGGTTGTTTGCTCTTACTTGTTTGCCTTGTGCTTCATGTTTTGGATAGACAAATTGAATATACTTCAAGAACAGATTTTTTATGGGAAAATAAATTAAAAATAGAACAAGATGAAGTTGAAACTATGAGAGGTATTAACAAAATTCTTCTCGAAAACATACTACCTGCTCATGTAGCAGAACATTTTTTAACAAACGTTCGAGCAATTCAGGTGAATATATATATTTGAATATGTATTTGAATATGTATTTTATATTTGAATATGTATTCAAAGCGAACATAAAAATTGTTTGAAAATTTTTTTTATACTTTTGAATTTTTTTATAGGATCTTTATCATGAAAGATACAGTAGTATTGCCGTTATGTTTGCATCCATTCCGAATTACAAGGAATTTTATGATGAAACGGATATAAATAAACAGGGATTGGAATGTTTAAGACTTCTAAACGAAATTATATGTGATTTTGATAAATTATTGCTTAAACCAAAATTTTCTGGAATCGAAAAGATTAAAACTATTGGAAGTACTTATATGTTAGCCTCTGGTCTTAGTCCAGGAAAAAATACTGATGAAAAGGTAAAAATATATTTTAATTCATTCACATACGTATATACTATTCTGTTATTAAAACAATATAATATTAACATTATATTTTAAACTTTCAATTAAACTTTTTCTCAAAACTATGAATTTTATTTCTTAATTTTCAGGAACTCTTAAAACAAGAAAATCATAATATAATTATTCTTATTGAATTTGCTCTCGCTTTGATGACAATTTTAGATCAAATTAACAAGGAATCTTTTCAAAAATTTAAGTTAAGAATAGGTGAGTTTTTTTAAAAAATAAATATAAAACTGTATTATTCTATAATAATATTAATTTTTTGTTAAATATATTAAGCAAAGATTTAGAGAATAATTTATAGTGACATAAATAAAAAAAATTTATTAACAAATTTATTAATATAAAGTAATAATAATAAAATATAGAATTTTTCTTAAAGTAGAAAAAAGGAAAATAAGATTATATTATTTATATATACACTAGATTATATAACAAAATTTTTTAAGGTTTAAATCACGGACCTGTAATAGCAGGTGTTGTTGGAGCACAAAAACCTCAATATGACATTTGGGGTAATACCGTAAACGTAGCATCAAGAATGGATAGTTGCGGAGAAATGGGTAAAGTTCAAGTTACCGAAGACACAGCCAAAATTCTGATCGCGGCTGGTTATGAGTTAATATGCCGAGGGCCTACATATGTCAAAGGAAAGGGAACTTTAATAACTTATTTTGTAAAAACACCGTTTGATGAAAAAGAAGAAAATTCTTAAATTCTTAGAAGAAAATTCTTAGAAAAGTAAAAATATAAAGAAAATAAAAAAATATAAAGGAAAAATAGTTAATTTATAACAAAGATTAATCTATAAAATCATAATATTTAAATTGATAAATGTTTAACTGATAAAAGTAGATAGAAAGAAAAAAAGAGAAAGAAAGAAAGAAAAAAAAAAATAATCATTATTATTTATTCGTTACTTTTCTAAAGATAAATTATGCATAACAATGGCCTTGATTTTGTAAACACCATTCAGGTTGTAAGCTTTCTGCATTGATTCCTCTTTTTACAAATCGTTCTCTATGCCTAAGCATTCTATGTTCCGCATGAATCCAAGCTGAATTTGGTTCCGACCACAATCTCTCGGCAAGTGCCGCGGATCTAGGCCAAATTTTCGCATCGACTGATGCACTATCAACTTGTTCTGACCAAAGAGCTGCTTCACTTCCTATTATAATATAAAGATATGTACAATAAATTATAAAATTATTTATACCACTATTAATTATCAATTTCAAACAATTACTATTTTTTTATAAGTTTCATAATCTTTCTTTATTAACCAATTTTTAAATCTCAAAAAAAATTTAATCAAATATTGTAGATAAAACATTGCAATTTTCATTTCAACATAAAAAAATATTCACCTAATATTAAATTTTTTTTATTTTCCAAATGTTGCAATTTTATTATTTTTAAAGGAGAATTTTCATAAATAATTTGCCATCCTTTGTAAGGAGAACACCAATTATTACCTTCACCTACCCAGGCTGAAAAACTAAAAAAAGCAATATAAAAGAAATAAAAATATGGACAGAGATAAAATCGAATATTAATTATAAACATTATTTTTTTTTAATTTTTTAATTTAAAAATATTTATTCACTTACCCACAATCTAAATACAGAGCGTCATAATTAGAAATAATTATTTTAAAATTATTTTGCAACAATCTATTAATAACAGAATCATTTTTGGTTGTCCAAACTTGAATTATATATTTTGAGGGATCTAAATATTTAATATTTTCTTCATTTGTTAAACCACTAGTCCACAAAATAACAGGTATCTCTTTTCCATTATTAGCAATTTTTAATTTATCAATTGCTTTTTCTTGAAAATAATGCCAAAGCTTATAGAAACTTGATTCTGATAGATCCCAATGTTTAACAGTTTGCATCCAATTTGTAATAGAAATCGAAGACCTCCAACAATTTATATTTACTTCATCTCCACCCATATGAAACAAATCTGGTTGAAAATCCAACATTATATCTTTATATATTCCTTCGAGAATTTCATACACTTTATCATTAGCTGGATTTAATTGACCACAAGGAGGTTCAACGCAATAATTTTTCCATGGTTCCGCTTTAAAGCAAACGATTGTATCGTTTCCGATCTAAAAATGAGATAAAATCATGCAATTAAATTTTTTTTTTTATAAAATTATACGAAAGGAACAAAAATAAAAAAGTCAAAAAAAATTAATTTTACCCATTGCCAACCTTCTCCTACATGAGCAGGGGCATCAAATTCCGGCAATATTCTAATGCCACGAATAAGACCATATTCAATGATTTCTTTCACATCATTTTCATCATAAATCTTTTCAGGCGAATAAGAACCAAATTTCGAAAAATTCGGCCATGTTTTGCTAACATAAGGAAAACTGTGAGAATCAGTGATGTGCCAATGTAAAGTATTTAACTTTGACATGGCCATGCCATCAATTGTTCGTAATATTGTTGCTTTGTCAATAAAATTTCTACTGGTATCTAATAACACACCACGATAAGGATATACAGGTCCATCAATAATTGATATTTCATTAGGAATTTGAATTTCATTTCTTAAATCGTCAAAAACAATCATTTGACTTAATGTTTCTAAAGCATGTCTTGCACCGAAATATGATTTCGCCGTAATAGTTGCTTCCAATAGCTATGTAGGATAAGAATAAAAAAAGAAACTAATTATCGAAATCATTCAATTATTTCATTACTTATAAAATATTGATATTTATGCTTAGATAGAATATATATATAATAAATATTTTCTTTCATTAAATATAAAATTTTAATAATTCAAATTTTTCAACGAACAAAATCTAAAACCTGTTTTAAAATGTCAAAGTTCCTTCATACATAAGCAAATATTATTAATATGTAGAAAAAATATTTTCGATCTTTTTTCTTTTTCATCATCTTTACTATCCTACTTTTTTCTATTTTTTTGTGTATAAAAATGTGAATTCCATTTTTTTTTATTTATATTAAAAGAAAAAAGGACAAAAAAAATTTTATGTAAGTATTAATACACTCACCATTTCATCTATTTGTATTACACTTAAATTGTAACTTTCGTCCGTATCCAAAGTCAATTTAATATTATTTATTTCTTCGTAGCCCACGCATCGAATAAGCATACTCATTCCACCATTTTTTGCTAATTTACCGCTATTTTTCACATTATTTTTTAATAAAAATATATTTTTTTCGAGTAGATATCTAATTTGTGTTCCATTTTGTAAATCTACTAATAAAATTTTATTAGGATCAAGTTGAACCATATATTTACTTAAAGATAAATGACCAGTTGGTTTTGGCCATAGGGAACTTGATGCATCACAAAATAATTCACATACTTCCAATGAAGTAGGTGTAATTACTTCTTTTGTAATTAATTCTTTTTTACAAAAACCATCCTCACATTTATAATGCCATGGAAAACTGTAGAAAAAATTAATCTAATTTTATCTTTTTTTTCCTTTTTGCATTATTCTTTGTTTTAAAATACATAAATAAAATATTTTTTTTATTATTAATTATAACATATAAGAAAAAGAACAAAATGAAACAAAAAAAAACAAAAAAAATTATATATTTATAAATGAAAATATATATATATATATAACAATTAATTAATAATATGAATTGATTAATAATTTTTAAATTAATTAAAAAATTAATACGATTTTAAACATTGTTATATTTTTTTTATATTTACTTTTATTTTATCTTTCAATATTATTAACGACTTACGACATATACATATATAACTAAATGTATAGATGCTATGTATGCTTTGATATATACTATACTGCCTATGTACTATACCTGTTGCTTTCACTACAGACTGCAAAAATTAAAATGGAACAAAACTCTTTTTCTTTCTTTACACTTAATTTTTATGCATTCAATATATTTTTTTATTTTATTCACTTATGATTTCTAGTGATAATTATGGAATCATGTTTAAAATTTTATGTATACACAATTGTATAAATATCATATCGATATGTATATACATTTATAAATATGAGAAATTTTGATTATAGATATATTTTGACATGTTTAAAAAGTAAAATAATAAAGTCTAAAAAATTTTATGAAATTTATAAAATTTTTTAAATAATAAAAAATGCATTAGTTGTTATATGCTATGCATTAACAAAGTTATTAGAAATAAATAAAGTTATTTATAAATTTTATTTCGAAAATATAAAAAAATAATATAAAACTTACCTATAGAATTTTTCAACATTTTCATTTGTTTTGACTTGAACAACAAAAATAATAAGTAACAAAATAATCATATTAATACTTCGTAAGTTTTATCCGAACACAGATTCGTCTTTCGAATGACTAAATACGATTTCGTTCGAATGATTTTATTTGCTCCGTGACGCAAACCAAATCCATTTTGATTGGATAAAATATTTTCAAAGTGGGATCAATATTTTCTTTTTAATCAATTAATCATAAATCATATAATATATTATCAATCAAAACAGAATTAAAATAAATAATTTTATCTATATCTTTTAATCTTTTAAATCTTTTATAATATATTATTTTAAAATAAATAACATTATAAAATATCATTGACTTAATATAATCATATTTTATTGCATAATTTAAATTACAATTTATATTACAATTATATTACAATAATGTATGTTCATAGGACATATATTGTAGGACACATATAATAAAAATTTGTTTGTTTGTTTAATAAATATTTATTATATAAGTGATTAAAATACAATAAAAAAATTAACAAAAAAATATTGCATTGATTTAGATAATTCACTTTATATTCAGTTCATTCATCTCCACGTATTGCTCTATATTTTGCTAATTCTTGTGGAAAAACTCTAGTTAATTCTACAAGCATATTTGCTTTAAATTTCCTATAAGCATCGATTTTTCCTTTTACTTGTTCATTTTTAGTTAATGCTTTTTCTATACAATCCTTAGTATATAATTGTGGATTTCTTCCTTGATCAATGTAACTAAAATCACATATAACATATAAATTTTTGTTTACATTCTTAATTTTAAAATACTTACTCGAAAACTTCCAAAGGTACATGAACATCTTGAACTTGAGATTTAAGTTTATCTATTTCTTGTAAGCCATTTACTAAACCTTGACTAAAATATTTATTATTAATAATTATTATATATTTAGGTATAAAAATATATAAATTTGTATAATATAATATGAATATATATTGAATATTTCAAGAAATTTTAATATAATTTAAATTTTAATCATAACTAATCATACTTTATGATACTTAAGTTTTTATAAATTCTATTTAATCATGAAAAATTGTCAATCTTAATAAAATATTTTTTTACAAATAATAACAATTTAAAATAATTGTAATTAAATTTTCTTTAATACGAATAAATGAAAATTTTATGAAATAATATTAAATATTTATTTAATAAAAAAAATTATAGAAAGATTCAACATACATTACTCACATTTTTTGATTCAATACATTTTGTCCTTGAGGTTGAAAATCACTCACTATAATACGTATTTGTCTAACATTTTCAATAAAAAGCTCTAACTGTGTTTCCAAATTTTCTAACGCGGACGCCATTTTTCATATTTCTTATACAAGTGTTTTATATATATATATATGTATATAAGCATATGCGCACGTTATATTTTACATTCTGCGCATATATGATATGCACATATATTTATATGAAAAAATATTATTTACATTTATATTCTATAATATAACTTACATCTTATAAATTGTGTAATTTATTTTCTTTATATTTGAATAATATATCTTTTATGACATAAATACGTAAAATTAAGTATAAAATTATATAAAATAATGTTATTTATAGTATATGAATAAAAATAGTATAATTCATCGAAAATATAAATATACCTTTAATACCTTATTTTATATATATATGTGTGTATATAAAAAAAATTTCTGATTTGAATTTACTTAGTAATCGATGATAATTTAATAAAGTTAGTTACTGTATCAAATAATTTCTACAAATACAATACATAATATATACATTTCTAGGAACTATCTATTTTCTAATATATTTTTACAATAAAAATGGCGCTAAAACACGTAGTTATAGGCAAGTTTTTTTTCTCATTCGACAAACTTAAGATAAATTTTCGAAATAACATTGACTAATAGGTTATATTACGGATGAGGTTATGTAATTGTCTCAGGTGGTGGTACAGGTTTTATCGGAACACAAATAATAAATTCATTGTGTCATAAAGGTGCTTCTTATACATGTATTTCTCGCATGCCTGGGCCTAATCGAATTTCATGGGTAAGAAAAATTGAATAATTATAATCATCTAATATTTGATCAATGATATTATGTAATTTTTATTATTATGTAAAATGTAATTTTTATTATTATGTAAAATTTGTAGCATGATTTGGAATGTTATGGTTTACCTGAAAATACTACTGCTGTAATCAATGTTGCTGGTCAGAATATACTTGATCCAAAACAGCGATGGTCAGAAGGATTTAAACAAAATGTTATAAATAGCAGAGTAGAAACAACAAAATCTTTAGCTAAAGCTATTACAAATACTAAAGCTAATGTTTTTATAACAATTTCTGGAGTATCATATTATAAACCAAATGATACAGAATATACAGAAGAAAATAAATGTGAAAAATATGATTTCCTATCAGGTATTTTTAATTTTATTGATATTAATTTTTTCATAAATATTAATTTTTAATACCATAAAATTTTTCATGCACATTAATATATGTTATTTATATTAAAATGTATCAGAACTTTGTCACAACTGGGAAGCAGCTGCACAACTTCCAAAAGATAGCAATATTAGACAAGTTACAATTAGATCAGGAGTTGTATTAGGAAGAAATGGTGGTATGATCAAACAAATATATTTACCATTTTTTTTTGGATTGGGTGGTCCTATTGATAATGGAAAACAATATATGCCATGGATACATATAACAGATTTGGTCAATTTGTTTCTATTTTCTATTGAAAATAAAAATGTACATGGTATATTAAATGGTGTTGCTCCACAAGTAATTAAATTAAATATAGATATTGGAATGGATATAAATTAAATATAATTAATAAAAATTATCATTTATAGATTGTAACAAATACAGACTTTACTAAGGCATTTGCATCTGTAATGCGAAGACCTGCATTTATTCCTGTACCACGAATAGTCTTGAATATTATTTTTAATGAAGAACGTGCAAAAGTTAGTTTAACTTTAATTGTTATTTTATTGTTGTTAATAAATGCATAAATAATTGATTTTTTTTCAGATTATGCTAGAAGGACAAAAAGTTATACCAAAACGTGTTAATGAATTAGGATTTCAATATAAATATCCTGATATTAATTCTGCCTGTGTTGAATTAATTAAAAATAAATAAATAATAATATGTATATATTTTTAAAACTAACAGTATATTTAGATTATATTAATTTATATGTTTGCATTATTATATAAAAAATACTATATAAAAAATAATTTATTTATTTCTTTATGTTACAATTTTATATACTTGAATTTCTTTAAAAAGAGAAAATACATCCATTTTAACAAAAATTTTAATGTATTTAATGTCAGTAATTTTCATTGTAATATATATATGAATTATATATTATTTCAATATATAATATATTTCTTCAACCATATGCTTTGATAATAATTTTCATTTTTATAATATAAATAAAGATAATAAAAAACATTATTCAAATATATTTAAACTAAATATGAATTTATAAAATTAAATATAATTACATTTTTTATTGTATAAATTTAATTATATAATAAATCTTTTTGTGCATTAAATTCTTTTATAATTAAAATTATAATTTAAAATTTTATAATCAAAAATATATTCTTATAATGCATTTTATGTTCTAAAAAATCAATTACATATTTTTTAAATATTTTCATTATTGCGATTTTTTTAGTAACTAACTTATTGTTAACAGAATATTTATTTACTTAAAATTATTATTTACTCTATTTATTTATATGAAGATTAAAATTATAAAATTAATTGTTGAAATAAATTTTAAAATATTTAAAATATCAATAATAGAATCGAATAGTAAAATTGAAGAAAACATAAAATGGCGCGATGCTGTGAGGACAGCTGTTATTCATTTAGAAGAGAAAACAGAAATAATTTTATTTAAACCAAGAGATTTTACGTGATTTTGTGTGTAAAAATTTTGTTATCGAAAGATTTAAAAATAAATCATATCTTATGAAAAATAAAAAGAAAAAGTTAAAAATATAATAATCATTTAACTTAAATGATAAAACAATTTGTACAACGATGACAATGGTAGTAGATACAATAATTTGATGGAGGTGGTTGTGCGAACATCGGAGAAAAAGACTTACAGAAATTTTTTATAAGAATAGTGATTTCATTAATTTTAACATAAATTAAATCTAATTAATATTAATAATAATGACTTGAAATTAATTTTTTTTAATGTATTTATCAGAAGAAGTGAGAATACTTAGACAACGAGAGAAAAGAAAGAAAAATACAAACAGAGAAGTAAGTTAAAGTTGTCTTAAAAAATATAAGCAACGCTTATTTCTTGAATTTATAAAAATAAGAATAAAATAAAGCAGCAAGAAAATTATATTCATAAATTTTAACTCCCTTTCGATGCATCCACATATATATCGAATATTTCGTTTTTGAAATTTTCAAAGCTAGAAGGACTTACTTCCATGTATTTTCACAACGGTTATTTGATTGTATTTTCAAAGTATCAGATAATTTTCTGCGATTAAAAGATGACCAAATATCGTCCAGTATCACAGCAAGTCTCCAGTGATAATCATCATTTTTACCACTGCTTTTACGAGGTTAGAATTAAAATCGATGCAATTATATTTCGTTTATTTTTATCCATATCTTTTTTATGCTACATATTTGAAAATATATAATTAATTTTATATTTATCTAAGCAAAGTTTTAATATAACTCATATGATTTCATTTGTTTTTGTTCAATCAACAGTTTATAATGAATTAATATACACTCTTAATTAAATATAATATATAATATAATATAATATATAAATATATTAAAAATATTATGGTAATTTTATATAATTTATTTGTTTTGTATAATTTTATTTTATTTATTAAACAATTTATAAAAATTTCTATAACATTCCTCTTTGTTACATAGGAATCACTATGAATGCCAGAACTCAACTATTTGAATTAAGTATGGAGGGCAGACAAGTGGATGAAGCAGTAGCAAGTATCTTCCACAGTGTTCTTTTCCATCGAAGTCTTGGTAAATTTAAATACAAGCAAGAAGGTAGTTATTCAGTGGGTACTGTGGGATACCAAGATGTTGACTGTGATTTTATTGACTTTACTTATGTCTGTTGTTCATCTGTGCATCTGGATCAAACTTTAAAACGTGAAATATCAGGTTTTTCTGAAGCTTTGCGTTCTACTGATAGTCCAGGTTCTGGCCAAATATCTTTGGAATTCTTTCAAAAGAAAAAAAATCGTTGGCCCTTCCAACCAGAATGCATACCTTGGGAAGTATGGACAGTAAGATTGGAACTTATTAAATTAGCAACAGAACATGAGAGACAAATATGCAGAGAAAAAGTTGGAGATTTATTAACAGATAAGATTCTTTATATAACAGAAGTAATGAATCGACATGACTATCTACCTAAAATGCCAAATCAAGCTGAATTGGATTTGATTTTTGATACATCATATCCTGATATACAACCTTATCTATTTAAATTATCATTTACAACTTCTAGCCCATCAAGTACAACAATGGGTAATACAATGAAAAAATTAATCAAAGAAACATTATCCATTTAGTTGTTTATTAATTTTTATGAGAATTTTTTTAGTAATGTATATATAATCCAAATTCATTTTTGGTTAACATTGTAAACTTTTCTTTGCTAACAAAAAAATTATTTTGATTATATCAAATTTTGCGTTATATACGCATCGAATTTTCATATTCTTTTAGTCTCTTTTACTTATATAAACATTTACTGTGTTATATGTTTTTATATATATTCACTTGCATAGAACTTGCATAAAGGACTTGAAGTCCAGGAAAAAACAAAGTTAATTATATATAATATTTATAATAAAGTGGGACAAAGAATTAAATCCCACATATCAAAATGTCATTTCTGACTAATCTATGCAAATTTTATGCAAATAATATTTGTCAGAAAGAAAAAAAACAAGCTGATGTGTATATGTATATATATATACATATGAATGTATATATATATGAATATACATATATGAATATGTATAGATATACATACATATATGTAACATACACATATACAATATATATGTATATATATATATAATTGTATAAATCTAAAATATTTGTAAAATTTCTATAGTACAAAGGAACCAATTGTGTATAGCAATTACTGTTTTGCGTATATACTATTCCAAGAATATCGTCCACTGTATAAGTCTTCTAGGTAATCAGTTATACATTAAATATCAAATATTATATTTCTTTATCATTTTGAATTTTAATTCGTTAATATTCTGGATATCGTTAATAGCGAAATGATATCTCGTTATTAATAGAGTGAAATATAACATTCTTTGTTTTATTTTTCTTTAAAATTTTTTCAATAGTAACAAAGATATACGGCTATTGTAAGAACATAGAGTAGTGTAATGTGTTTATTTAACAAAATGAAATTTAAAAGTTAATAAATTTGTCTTAACATATAAAGCTGTTATTTCTTTCTTTCTCTCGCTCTCTCGCTTTTTCTCTCTCTTTCTTTCTCTTTTTCTTTTTTTCTGATTTTTTTGATGTTTAAAAAATTTTATATATATGTTTAAAAATGTTTAATATATGGCTGGAACCTAGACTTATTATTGTAAAATAAATTTATAGTACAAATGCTTATTTCTATGTTTGTTATTCATATATTTAATGTAAATGAAAATATGTATTTATGCGAATGCAAAATTAATTTAAAAGAACTTTCATTGTTTACTTTTGTTAGAACATCTTTGTTAAAAAAATAACTTATAAATGATTTTAACTATTTAGTATTAAACAATTAAGTATTTCATAAAAATGTAGAGAGATGGGAAAAAACAAAAGAAATAATGAAATAGTGATGATCATAATAATAATAATAATAATAATAATAATAATAATAATAATAACAACAACAATAATAATAAGAGAAGAGTTGAAAGATTCCAAAAATATCAAGTATATTTGAATGTTAAACAATAATATTAACTTTTGTTTTAAAATGAAGGTTGTTATTTGAAGAAGGCTTTAAAAAATAATAGGAAGTGTGTCAAATTGACATAGATTATTTATGATATATAAATATATAGATATATAAATATTATGTAATAGTTTAGATTAAATTTTTTTGAAAGATTATGTTTTCATATGACAATTTTTTGTATTAAAAATAAAAATAAGTAAAAAATTTTAACTTTAAAATCTCAAAAATTTTTAATTTATTTTTTAAATTATTTTTAAATTTATTTGATAATATGCAATAATAAATATTATTATCTTTGCTTTGAAATATGTGAAATTATAATTAAATGCGTATTCGATAAAAAAAGAAAAAAATATAAAAATTTAACCAAAGAATGCCTATACCCAATAAGAATGTATAAAAAATTTAATAGAAAAGAAAAATTGCGAATAAAATAATTTTTTGATATTTTTTAACATGTTCATTAATTTTATAAACATTAGAAAATATTCGAAAATTATAATTGATACTCATGAAATTTCTTTATTTATAATTTTACCAATATGTTAAGAATCAACACATTCTTTTAAACATGAATGTCTCAAATTATATCTAAAAAGACAAAGATACAGATGGTAATGTGGACGCCTGCGCAAGAAAACGGCGGCTTGTCTAGTTAGGTTTTGCTAACAATTTTCCATTTTCAGTTATCGATGGAAAAGGCCGGCCGTCGCTTCGAAAGCGCTTTATCGTTGGAAATAATAACACATTAAAAAGTGTGATATGGCGTTTCTATTTATATAAAAAAATTAATATAAAAAACATTGAATTCAATTGTTATAAAAAAATATAACAAAATTGAAAATTATTTGCCAAATAATAGATACATAAAAACAATTACAAGAATTCTGTGCTAAGTGATTTATAAAATTATGTTTTTCATTCAATGCGATATGCAACGATGATAGCCGACGTACCCTTCATCGTTGTCAAATTCTTCGATCGATACACTAAAACATTGTGTACTTATAATTCGAGTATATCAAGTGATTAATTTTTTTAAAAATTTTCTATAATCGTCCAGAAAATAATTTTAATTTCATGATAGTTTTAATTTTTCGTCTTTTTTTATGTTTAATTTCTTGTTTTGTTTTCATTTTATATTTCTCATACAATAGAAATAACGAGAAAATATAAATAGCACGTAAAAATTAATTCTCAAAATTATCAACAGGTGGTTCAAGAAAATAACGAATTTTATCTTTTATTTTAAAAAATACACATATGTATATTTCGTAATAACAGAATATTGTCTGAATAATTTTTTCAATATTACTTATAATATAATATATTACTATTAATATCGAATGAAAAATTCAAAGACAAAAAGAGAAAAAGAAAAAAATGGTGCGCGATTGTATGCTTAATTAAAGCTAAAAAAAATTAAGTATACATTTAATCAATAATAGAGATAATGAAACGAAATATGTGGCAATTTTTTATTTTTTAATCGAATGATTTTGTAAATTTTTTTTTCGATTAAAAAAAATTTTATATAAGTAACATCAATCGAAGGACGATTCGTGATCACGCAATATCGTTCTATTTTTGGGGAATGTTTTTAAATAGTAGTAACCTCGAGAAATACCAGATTTCACCATCTTTAGAGCAAAGAAATAGAGAAATTTTTAAATTAATAACAATTTATATGTATCGGTAAAATCGGTTATGAAACAATATGTAATGTGAAAGAAAAGATTTTCTATTTATGTAAAACGAGTCAAAATTGATTCGTATTTTATATCTTGTCTTGTATTATCTTGTATCTGGCATGAAATCCGTTTAGGAAGCTATAAAGTTACATATTTATTTATACAAATTTTATTTACTCCCTACTCGTTATTTGCTTCAAAATCATTACCTGCAATCAAAGAAAAACAAGTCAAACCGCTTCTAAACATATATATATATTTAATTAATTGCTATATTATTACGTATGTATTTATTTCGTGTAAAAGAATTAAAATTATTTTAAATGATGGAATAATTGAGATATATATTTCCAATTTCTCTATCAATTCGAAAAAATTTGAAAGAAAAAACGTTCAAAAGAAATGAAGAAAACTATATAGAAGAAAAAAGATAAAAATATTTGAAAATTGAAAAAGCAAAGATAATATAAAGTTGCAATTTAAAAAAAGAAAAATCAAATTATAAGAGAATAGAAAAAAAAAAAAGAAAAGAAGTTAAGTATATTGAAGAAAAGATATGAATCGTGAAGTGGATAATATAATGATTCCATCGAACAATAACATAGTGGAAGAATGGTCGAGCAATTCGACTATCAACCGTATCGAGAACGACATAACTTCCAATTTTTTAGTGCAATTAATATTTTATATACTTTACGTACATATTTTTATTTTGGGTGTATTTGGTAACATGCTGGTATGCTTCGTCGTGGCACGAAATCGACAAATGCAGACAGTGACGAATTTGTTCATCACGAATTTGGCATTGAGCGATGTTTTGCTTTGCGTTCTTGCAGTACCATTTACACCATTGTACACATTCCTCGGTAAATGGATATTTGGCAGAACTCTTTGCCATTTGGTACCGTATGCTCAAGGTGTCAGTGTGTACATCAGCACGCTGACCTTAACGAGTATCGCGATCGATAGATTCATGGTAATTATCTATCCGTTCCATCCTCGTATGAAGATCGAAATTTGTTTACTCGTAATCATCGGTATATGGATATTCGCATTACTACTCACTTCCCCTTATGGAATTTACATGCAGGAGGAGGAACCATATACTTACTGTGAAGAACATTGGCCGAACGAACGATTTCGCAAAATTTTTAGTTCCATCACATCAATATTACAATTTGTCCTACCATTTTTTGTAATTGCTTTTTGTTACATCTGTGTCTCAATCAAGTTAAATGATCGAGCTAAAACGAAACCTGGTACTAAGACCAATAAAAGGGAAGAGGCTGACAGAGAGAGGAAGAAGCGAACGAATCGAATGCTGATTGCTATGGTCACTGTATTCGGTATATCATGGTTACCGCTTAATATCGTAAACGTTATCAATGATTTTTATTCGCCAGCCAATGATTGGATATATTATAAACTTTGTTTTTTCATGACACATTGCCTCGCTATGAGTAGTACCTGTTACAATCCTTTCCTTTACGCTTGGCTCAACGATAACTTTCGCAAAGAATTTAAACAAGTACGAATTTTTTTTTTCTAACACATTTATTTCTTATTTTATATATATGCACGTGCAGAAATTTTTTATTTATCGATATAGTTTTTTATTTCTTTCCCTTTCATGTTAAAAAAAAGAACGATTCGGAAAGACTTTTTATTTCTTTGTAAACGTTTCTTAAACATATTAGTTCCTAAAGGATTGCAGAATTATTGAAATTATATAAATTTTAATAAAAATAATTTATCGATTTAATTTTCGAGCGAAAATCTTCTTTGTTTTAAGTATATTTCTATATATTTATATTTATAACGATTTTAAAACTAGTTTAAACGATTTAATATTGATATATAACGAGAAAATATTATTCATCGAAAGAAAATATTATTCATCTTATTCTTCGTAAAATTCTATTTATCATAACTGTAAAAGAAAATCTTTTAAGGGAAATTTACACTCATTTACATTATAATACAAGTTTGCTCGAACTTTATTTTACTTTTTAATATGCGCCAACAATATCTTCTCCAATAATCGAGCATCTTGTTAAGTTATTTTAAACTTATCATTATATTTCTCATTTATATTTTAAATATAAATTTAATTTATACTCTTATACATTTTCAATTATAATTAATTTATTTATGAAACAATCATATTTCATTTTTTAATCAAGAAAATTTTAAATTTTTAAATTTTTACATATACTTTTGATATCAATAAAATTTTCACGTTACATTTACGAGTTCACTGTTACATTTACCAAATGAATTTTTTTGAAGGTACTTCCATGCTTTTCAAAAGCAATTAACGCTTATACTCCGAAAATTACCGAAGAATTTCAAAATAATAAAGAATGTAACGGAAATAATACCCTTCAGGAATCTTTATTATTGAATGAAACGCAAATAAGAAATTCGAATCCAGAAGGATGTGAATTGATTACCCACGAAACAACAGCCAGCAACGTGTCGAGAGACATAGAAGAAACAGAAGCTCTCTGATTCGACAAAGGTTCAAATGTCAATCGATTAATGTAAGTACTTACCTTTCCTTTGTAAAGAAAAGAGAATAACATTATTATATTCTCTTTACCATATATGATAAATATCTCGAACTAAATTACATTATCTGTTGGTTCTATTATAATAGATCTCTATATCATGTGTTCTTGACAAACAAGTAATGAGATTATGTTGTTCCTAATAAACTGAATTGCTTTGATTCAATCTTCAATGTTTATGTCAAATTTATTAAGAGAAGATAGCTTGATGAAATGAAATTCATCAACCAAAATCGATTTTCATTTATTGTTTTTAATTAACAATATTTTAATTCATTAATTTAATATTTAAATTCATTCGCGTTAAAATATATTGTTCTAATTTTATTTGTATTTTAGATTAGATCGATTGATGATATTAAAATTATAAATATTTTTATATTTATTGATTCTATAATTGAATAATTGAATGTTATTTTTAAATAACTTATATATAAATAAACTTTCAATATTTTTCTTTTAATGTGAGAAACGATCATAAAACAGGTAAAAAAAAAAAAAGAGAGAGAAGTGCGATTTAGTACAAATTGTAAAAGTATCAATTCACATATCAAATAAAACATAATTTTTCTATAATACATTTCTTTTTGATTCTTTAAGTGCAAAAAGCTTATAAAATTGTTATTTTAATGATTGCAATTTTATTTCTTTTTTTTTTTAAATTGAAAAACCAAAAGAAAATAAAAATTAATGTTTTATCAATTTCTTATATTATATTTTGTTTTTATTAATAGAAAAGATAAAATATTATAAAATATTAGTTAGTTATTATAAAATATTAGTTATTATATTATATATTATTATATTATTTGTTGCATCACAATTATATAAAAGAAAAATAAAAGAAATAAAAGTAAAAGTAAAAAAAATAAAAAAAAGAATAGAAATAAAAATCGAAACAATAATAATATATAATACAAAGAAAATATAATACAATATATAATACAAAGAAAAGATATGATAAAACTAAATGATGATACAATTGAACTCAATACTATAAGAAAAACAAATCGAAAATATTGTTATACTGAAGACATGAATATATATAATATACTATATAAAATATATATACGTCATTGAATTAGATGCACTATATATTATATTGAATACTTATGTTTCAATATGTTTCAATAGATTGCCAATAGGTTGTATTTCATATTACTGTGTTATTTCGGAATTTAGGATAATTATTTTACTTTTCTATCATCATTTACATTTTGTTGTTAACTCTATATTTCTATGTTATATTCTAGTATGTATATTTTTTCATTGATAACGCTTTTTTCTTAATTTTTTTATTTTTTACTATCTAAAATTATTTTTTTTTCTTTTTCTTATTATTTTTTTATAAAATTTCTACGTTGAAAAAAAATATAAAAAGTAAAATAATAAAATAAAAAAACAATGAAAATCAATTTTTTTTTAAAACATTCCTCTACTTTATCTCTATTTTACAGAAGCTGTACTTTCCCTGGAGACTAAAAAAAATATCTAGTTTCAATCAAGTACATACTAAATTTTTCATGGATTATTATATATTTAGAATGAATGGTGGCGATAAATTAAATGGAAGAAACATAATTTAAAATTAAATAGAGGAAAGAAATATAATTTTAAAAGAATATACAATGTATTTATTATGATTGATAGCATTTATGAATTTAAATTTGTTATAAATTACAAAAGAAATTGCAAAAAAAAAAAAAATAAACAGAAGCTTATTCAATTTAAATATTCTATTTTTATATGTCCAAATTCCATTTTTATTTTAAATTTAATGTTAATTTTTAAATATTTATTTATAAAATAACAAAGATGATTAAAATTTATTGTTAAATATCATATCGATTATTAGTCATAATGATTATGATAAAAAATAAAATAGAATTACATAATAATATATGACTATATATATCTACTTGTTTGGTTTAACTTATAATTACAACTTACAATTACAAATAAGTACAAAAAACTTACAATTACAATAAGTACATAAATATCTACTTATGTCATCAAACATAGTTTGAAATTTTATTTAAAAACTTATTCGATCGAATGTCCTAGATAAGGGAACATATTGCAAGGGTATGTTCGCTGATAAAAGCTGATAACAGCATCGTTTTGATCGACCATTCTCGAGAATGTATTCTCCCCTTTCTCTCATCTCCAATTTCAATTCTACAATAACATCTCATTATAGTATGAAATGATTACGGTAATCTGAGCACATCTTGTAAAAAACGATGCTTGTCAAGATAATATATGTATATTACATGACATATCCATATCTTTATATGTGTATAATCTACACATAAACTACAATTATAAATAAATAAATATAAATATAAATCATATATATTTATTACTATCTAATAACATATAGTAAATAAATATTTACTATGTATATGTGATATACTATATAGTATATATGTATATGTATGAATTTATATTTTTTTTATTGTATTCTTCTATCAGCATATTATTTTACGAAATTGTTTAAAAACAGAGATTAAAGAAAAATGAGATAAATACATTTGAGATTCTATGTTAATTTTTTTTTCTACTTATATTTTTTTATATGTATATATATAAACATAGATGAGATATACATATATATATCTCGAGATATATATATATATTATGATCTCATGAATAAAAAAAAAATAAAACATATTTTCTCAAATAAATTTCAATGATAAAAGTCTATTTATGCAATTAAGATGCATTAAATTCGAAAAAAATAAAAATATAATAGATTATAATAATTTTTCCAATCAAATATGCAGTATAGTAATAATCTATATAAGAATGATATTTATTATAGAATATTTATTATAGAATTTTATATTTTGTTTACGATAAAATATTTTGTTTCGTATCTTACTTATAATATCATAATAAAATTTAGTTTCAATTCTAACCACTAATAATGTTGTAATCTTATTCTTTGCTGAATCGATAATGTCGGAGATGAAAGTAATGTATGTAAAGGAATATAGAGTCTTTATAAAATATATAGAAAAATATATTGAATGATATTTATTTTGTATCTTGTATGTAATCAAATTATTGATGCTTATATAGTATATAATAATAGTAACTTTTCTTTTATTTGTATGAATATTAAATATTTTTATATAAGATTTTTTTATAGGAAATAATAATAGGCGACTCTAAAAACATTTAGATATTTTTATTAACATTTTTACATTTTTTTCAATAGTTACGTCATGATCTGTGCCTCGCATTTATTTTATACAAAGCTGTAACATTTAAAAGAGAGAGCAATAAATCTGCTCTATGTTATTACGTGAAATATAGTTTTTCACGATATTTTCATTTAGCAAATTTTATGTTTTTTCTTTATTTTTTTTATTCATGTTTATATATATATATATATATACATACATATATATAATATACATATATATATATATATATATGTTGTATATATAGTAGAATCTCGATTGTGATAAAATGGAAATACGTATCAACAAAATACATGCAAATTTCAATGTTCGTATGTATTTCAATGAATGCAATAATAAATTATCCTTACAATGATATTAATAAAATTATTTTTTTATCATAATATATAAAATCATTCTTCATATATTCTTCATATACTATTGGAATAAATATACTTTCCATGCAATGATTAAGGTTGCAATAATCGAGATTCTATTGTATATGCATTCATTTATATACATTCGTATTCTTTATTATATTTAAATGTAATTGCAAATATTTGGATAATATACTAAAATTAATATTTGTAAAATGTTTCATTTTATCGTACAATAAATCAATGCTTATGCAATAAGAAAATTATTCAATACAACAAAAAGAAATACATACATGTACGAAAATATTTTGAATATTTTTTAAAAAATAAACAAATTTGATTCATATTCCATCACAGTAATCACAACAAAATTCGACCAATTTCTTAAAAAATTAATTATTTATAAGCGAATTAATTTAATTTTTTTAAAACTTCATCTTATTTCATCATAAATTCACAAATCTCTTTGTTACCGCATTGTATCAGATTTCATATTTAAAGAACATGAAAGAGGCACAAGAGAACATATTAATTACTTTCAAAACTCATTTTACATTTTTTATCTTTTTTTCCCATTATTCTTTCTCATTGTTATATTTTTAAGCTGCATTTATATACTATTTCAATAAACATTAATACCAAAGGGAACATCCTGATACTCAACAATCAACTATATATTTAGAATCACTAATTTATCTATCAATTCATTCTATTGTTTTTGTATTATTAAGAAGTACATTCATGATATGATGTAGTAGTGCAACATAATAATATAATAAATATATTCCAACTGGAAAATTGATTAAGTTAATCATACCAGTTAAACGTAACGTTAAATCGTATGCGCTATATAATCCAATTATTTTTTTCCAGGTACAAACGTTTTTTTGCGCATACAATATATATTAATCTCCTTGGTATTAATGTTACATTATTTCTGGATATTACTTAACATTGACGTTATATCCCTTCAGCATGTTAAAGTTAATTAGATCTTTATTAAGATATAAAGATATAGATGAATTTCATCTAAGCCATAATTTCAATCGAAGAGCATCTACACCATTTAAATAGTACCGAAATAATCGCTTATCACGCACAAAACCAAGATTCTCGTACAAACGTAATGCTGGTCGATTAGTAATTTCTGTTTCTAAAACTACTTCACCAGCATTATCTTCCACCATAGCCTGGATTGCTCTTCTTACCAGGTTTGATCCAATTTTTTGCTTTCGATATTTTACATCGACAGCTAACATTGCAATGTATCCACGTTTTATGACTTTTCTATGGATGTCCAGTTTGCAGACAATGGCACCAACACACTCGTCACCAAACATCGCCTTGACGAACAAAAAGCAAGAGTTTTCTGTAAATTCTACACACCTGCAAGACAAAGGCATCCGACCAAAGCTGGCTAACAATTTTTTCTATTTCTTAATATTTTCTAATACCATATTGATTATCTCTTAGATAGAATCATATAAATACAAAGATACATAATATTATGAAATAAATATTTTTTCCAGCATTGTTTGAATATATTTCATTGCTTTAAGAATATATATATATTTTGTTATTTCAATAATATACATACCAGAAAACATAATTTTGGCCAATTATAAATGAAATATCTATATGTGTAAATAGAATATGGTTCACTTAGGTCCTTTTGTATTAACTTCATAATATCAGGCATTTGTAATTCACTTGTGTAACTAACATACTTTATATCATTACCTCTATTTTCCAATGATAATGTACCTAATTATATATAAAAAATAATCAATATAAAGATTTCATAAAAATACACTTAGTTATTAAAATTTAAATGTACAAAAATTGAATTTTAATTAATACATATAGATAAAGATTAATTTATACCATGTTGATTTAACTGAGTAGTTTCAGGTTGTGTAAGATTAGTCATGCTAGTAATTCTTTCAGGAGAATTACAAATTCCATTGACTCGAGATATTCCATTTCTATGTGATTCTCCATATATTTCAGTTGTCTTTAAACTAAGTCGAGATGTAATATCTAATGTAGCAATATCTGTCAAAGAGTTTTCATTCTTTTCTTCAATGCTATTTTGTTCACTTTCTGATTCATTTCCATCTTGTCCACTTTCTACGTTTATCTTTTCCATTTTAATTCTTTCAATATTTCTTTTTTTCAAATATCAGAATTTTCTATTCACAGGATACAATTTGAGTAAAGAATTTTAAAGATGATAATTTTTCCGTTTTTATACAATATATTGCTGTGACATTAAAGCTTTTAGATGTCATATCAATTTTTCAATCGAATTTTCATAATTATGATGAGTTAAACAATTTTCGTGCTGTTAATGTTATTTTCAAATATAAAATTCCAACGTAGCCCTTCAACTGATGGACACCATATTGAATTTTCAATGATCATTAAGAAGACAAACATAAACAATATGCAACTAGCAACCATATCTTAATTTTAGTATTATATTATTATCTTTTTTTAATTTTAGATAAAAAATAAATAAATATAATTGATGAAATAATATAATTAAATTTTGTATAATTTAACTTTAGATTATATAATATTTATAATAATATTTTTTATAAAAATCATTTTAATATAAATAGAATTTTTTTTTTTGTTATAAACAAATATAAAATTTTTATATTAAGAAAATAGTATATTTAAAAATAATATAAAAGCAAATAAAATAATGTTGATTTTTATTATAATATATATTCTATTTCATAATTGTAAGAGGGCGCTTATATTCTTGGACAATATCAGAAGTATGTAGAAGTTCTATTAATATTAAAAAGTTTAAGGTTCTTTTCGACTAAAGCACCATGGGTAAGTTGTTTGATATAATTTTGTTTTTATCACTTTGAATCAACTTTTTTGACATTAAAGTTATTATCAAATGTTCATTAAGAATCTATAAAAACATTAAATTTTTCTATTTAGATGTATATTATTTTCATATATACAAATTAAAAGTTTAAAAATTTATAATATATCGATGGTTTTTCGACACTTCTTATTTTAACAATATAATCTTTACAATCTGCTTAAATTTTATATTTATTATATTCAATATATTATTTTGTCAAATATAATATTATGTATAAATTTAAC